GGGGCCAGGGCCGGGCTGAGGGCAAGGCGTCCGCTTGCCCCAGCCACCGCCGCCGTTGTTCCAGCCACCGCCGTTGTTCCAGCCACCGCCGCCGCCGCCGTTCCACTTGCCACCTCCGTTGATGGTCCAGCCACCACCGCCGTTCCACTTGCCGCCACCGTTCTTGTCGTCACAGTCAGCGGGCTTGATAAACGTCATGGCATCAGCCGGAGCTTCTTGAGCGGCAAATGCAACAGCCGCAAGGGCGAGGAAGCCTTGAATGTATACTGCGACCATGGAAGCAAATGGGAGAATGACTCTTCGCATCCACGCCTTGCGAGGTGCAGCTAAGCTATTCGATCTTGGGCGCAGAACAAAGGATGCAGACAGCAGATGACGAACGCATCAATACATGCAGAAGTGCACATGTTGTACCGCACTATCAATGACCGCGTATACCAGCCAGACATGACCAGATGTTTCCAAACCCGTCACCACGCTGAATCTGGCGTTCGATCCAACCACCGAGCTGCATTTCTCTGCCCAAAATTGTCCGGAACACGATGATCATTGACGCACAGAAGGCGGTCGCTGTCCTGCCTTTTCAACCCGAGAGAGGGAGCAATCCATCCTACATCAACCAAGTATCTCCTTGAAGCCATCTTTGGCCACAAGCGCAGCATAGACGTTATCTACGCGTTTCGAGTACGCATTGTTTTGAGTCCACATTCACACGACTGCTATGAATAATGCGCCTAGTAAGCTGGTTTCAACATACTCCATATCTTCTGTAGACGGTTACCAAAACACATGTTTCGTGTCTGCAAAGTGCCATCATGCACCATGATCATGCACGACGGTCGCCATCCTCGGTGGGAGGATCCAGGAGAGATACTACCATCCAGTGCGTACGTAGAGTTCGCAACGATATCCGTGACCTCTACACACACTGCATACTCGGAAAAGATCCTGCTCGCGTGCATGTTGAACCGGCTTGCTGAACTTGCGGACTGCATGAAAAGCCCACTCGTATAGCTCAGGTTCAGGGAACCTAGGCGGCTGTATCCTAAGCCTAGAGGTAGATCATGTCGTTGAAGATCCTTTTTGAATCTACATGCTAAAAGTTCCATAGCCGACCCCACGGCGGAATGTTCTGGATCTAGTAGTATGGGCTTTGTAAGGAAGTGGTCTGCAGCCATTCCCTGCCCGTCGTCAGTAGACTGAGTCATAGGGGCTCACTTCAGCACTCGCTTTGTATCCAACACGCTTGACTTATTGAGGACTAGCCGCCTCCTATTGTCGTACATCTCGTTGGATCGTGTTGAAGTTCGCTTGCTTGCTCGCTCGCTATCTCGGAGTACAGCACAACAAGTTGGCATCCAGTTGGGACCTGTCGCTCCGGCTCATCTCGCTCTGGAATGACAACTGTGACGTACGACCTCACGTACTAGTCGGTGGCGGTGGCAGATGCGGCTGGGCCATTTCTTGGGGCAATTCGGTCGTCCAAATCTCATGGCGCGCCGACACGACGTGCGGATTTGAGACCTTTCGCTGGTTCACCGAGATGCCACGCAGGATGTCCGGCTTTTGGTGGCGCCACGTCACGATGGAGGATGCGCATTGGCGATCTTTCCGGCCATCTTCAATGACGTTTTGCCTCTCGGT